CTCAATTTTTATTCCTATTTTATTGTGTAGTCTTGAATGAACAAGGACAAGTAACTGTCAAACCGGTCGGGGACATTTATCCAAGTCCATCTTAGGAAGTGTAAGACTCTGTGTTTGGTACAGTCAGTCTGAACTTTAAATTTGCTACAGGTGTCAGTGAGAGTGGAAAGCCAGGTGCATCAGGTAGGAGAGGTGAGCAAAGACAGTTTGACCACACCGTCGGTTTGCAAATGAATCTTTCACTCTTTTTCCTTCGAGCCTTGACTCATGTAAGTTCCTCCATATCCAAGTATAACTTCTCCTCACATGCCGAATACCATTAACCTCTCAGCTCTCAGTTTAATTGTCATTAACCATTAGGAAAACCCACCTTGCACCTCTCAGGCTAGGTAGCTCTTCCTTCAGTGTGCTTAATAGCGCCCTCTACTGCCCTATCAGGGGATTCACGTCCCTGTGTGAACCTCTCCCACCCAACCATAGCTTTGTGAAGATGGAGCCCTATCTTGCCTGTGTGCTTCATCAAATCCCCACACCCCCACAGTATCTGGTAGAGTTAATGCTCAAAATATTTGTAGAATAGAGAGAAGAAGGGAGGATCATATAGCTTGCTTCTCAGAAATCTTCCACTACTCCCTACCTCACTTTAGTACCAGGTATGACCTCATACATCACTTTGTTGATCTTTATTTCCCTTAATACTGACCCCACCTTCCCTTTTCTTACCTGTTGGAACCCCACTCCTCTAGGGCTCCCATGCCACACAGACCTCAAGCACATACCCTACCTTAGGCTCAGGCTAAGCTGCTTCTTCAGCTCTCTGAACAGGATCATCCAGTGCACCAGCTAATTGGTGTAACTGAAGAGCAGAGAAGACTGCTGAGTAGCACTACAAGAAAGTGGCTGAATGCAGCTGTATTCTCTTTCTAGGGCTGCCATACAAAGAGTCACTTAAAGCAGCCACACTTAAAGCAGCCAAAATGTACCCCCTCGCAGTTCTAGGGCCAGAACTTAGAAATCCAGGTATCAACAGGGCTATGTATCCTCTAAGGGCTTTAGGGAAAGGTTATTCCTTGCCTCTCCCACTGCCTAGTGATGGTCAGCAGTCCTTAGTGCGCTTGGGTACTGGCCTCATCATTCCAATCCCTGCCTCTCATCAGGGATTCATCCCTCCATATGTGTCTGGCCATGTCCAGATAGCTCTCGTTAAATCCAGTTGGAGCTGACGCCACCCGAATTCAGTATGACCTTATCCTGCCTTGATTACACCTGCAAAGACTATGTTTCCAAGGAAGGCCACACACATTCACAGGTACAGGGGATTAGAGAGACAACATGTTTTGGAGGTGGGAGGCAAAGTTTAAACCACACCACCAGCACTCTTAAGGGATTTCTCTCGCCTCCTGAGGTTGCAGGGAATGAGCATGGAAATGTGTTTCGCATGTGTTCCAGTATCTAGTCCTGGACACCCCCAGATTCTGGACACCCTGAGCTATGTTCATGCATCACACATAATCACCCACCACTGTGATTTTCTTTTCTCTAAATTTTGAAGTTGGTTGCTTGTTTTTATGTCCTCAAGAGAATATTTCTGTTACAATGAAATAGTCCACCTAGAAGAGAGAGAACCTTATCGCAGCCAATAGGGACTCACCAAGATTCTGGAACTCGAATGAGCAACCAAATATTGGCATAAGGGAAAACTTACGAGCCTTGGATGACATTGCCCCATCAGACATTGTAGGCAGTGGGCTGAGCAGCTGAAAACAGACTGAATGAAAGTGATCCTTGGTGCTCTGGCACTATCTCCTGGCCATTCCAGCACACTGGGGTCTTACATGCAAACAGGTGCAAAAATGAAATTACATGAAGAAGGTTAGGGTTCCAGCTGCAGAGCACTCTTGATGCTTCCTGGAAGAGTTTGGAAAACATTGTGTATCCAGAGGGAGCCTACCCAAGTGAGCAGTAGCCCTGGGGAGCTTTTACCCTTTGCTAACTTTTTTTCATCTGGCAGATGTTAGTATGGAAATGTGATCTTTAATTCCTTAAAGACCCAATCTCCCTGGAGTTAATTCCTCTTTTGAAGTCGTAATATTTTGTGTAATGCTTTCTGATCATCTTAACTCCAAGTCAAATGTTCTATGTCACAGATGGGGAAAATTATGTGGGCTTTTGGCATGCTCTTTGGGCATAAAAGAAGATATCTACTGTGTTTGGAGGCAAAAACATGGAGGTCATGAAAACCGCTGGAAATGGAATTTGGTGATCTTACGTTTTTCCCTACCCTGACTTAATTCCTTCACAAATATTGGAGCATTTGAAGAAGGCAAATGGATCTCATTTTCCTCTGGGCATCTCTAATGATGGACATTGCCCTGTGTTTACAAAGAGCAAGGCTGCAGTCACACACGACCCCTCCCAGCTGTGGACACGGGGATGTGTCTTTATCATCTCACTACTCGAACTTGCTAGTGTGGGACGCAGAGAAGACTACAGCTCACCACTTGTTGATATTTGCCTGCTCTGGCTAAGGTCTGAAGTCCCTCCCGGATTCCAGAGCTACTTCAGGAAACACGTAGGATGTGTTGTTGGAAGTTTTGTTGGCGAGGTCCAGCTTCGCAGGCCTTGGACAGCTGCAAACCTGTTGCAGCGCCGCTGTGTGGGTCTCTGCTCAGGACTCCTCTCACCCCTGCAGAAAGTGGAAGTCTTCAGGATGGTTAGAGCCGAGAATGGAAGAAAAGTGCTCCTTACTTCTCCCCCATCTGCTTAATAGCCAACCACAGAGCCATTCAGCTGGACCATTCCAGCTGACATGAGTGGGAATCATGCACATTTGTAGTTTATTAACTTGACTTCTGCAGTAGAATAGCATATTTTTCTGAATGAGACCCATCCTGTCAGCTTCTCCTACACCCAAATGAAGACCACGTGGTGTAAGCACTCACTTAATAGAACAACGCAGTCCATTCATAATAGGTACAATAGCGTTGAAGTTGGGGGAAGTATATTTATACTTCACATGTATTCATAGTTTCATTTTCTTGGCCTATTAAAAATGCTCAAATCTGACTGGTGGGAAGGGAGGACTCATTAGTACTGAGTAATGAAGAAAATGTGGTTGAGTTTGTTCAACACATTCCACCCTCGGTTGCAGGATACACAGGTGTCCGATGACATATGAGTAGTTCCAGTCTTTTCTATTGGTGGTAAGGGAGGTGTGAGAATCCTCTGTCCTTCCAGCTCCAAAGGGACCCAGGCAGATCAGAGCAGGAGGGTGAGCTGCTTGCAAATCCCACAGCCTCACTGTCAGGGTGCGGCTCCTCACATTCTACTTGCAGGCCAGGCTTGAAAGCCACCCTAGAAAACTCGGTCCTTAGGGACCGATTCAAACCCATGAGCAGACTTTTCTAGCACGTCTAGGAGAACAGCAGAGCATGCAGGCACATCGTGGTAAAGAACACAGGTTCAAGGCCTGGGCAGCCACACCTTTGGCACTTCACTCACTGGTGCCTCATCAGTTCAAGCATTTAGAATCTGACAGTGCTGGTGCTGGCAGCGGGAGTGTGGCTGAGGCCCTGGCTGCCACTGCTGAGTGAATCACCGTGGGCTGAGCAGACAGCTGCGGTCCCGCCTCCACAGCGCCAGGGCTTGGGTGCTGCTCTGAAGCTGGCTTCACCCGCGTTGCACTCATAGAGGGACTACTGCGTGCTAATCCCTGGTACTCGAGCTCCAGAAGAATGGGTGGCAAATGGTTAGCAGCACTCTGATTAGTGCACCCCTGGAAGTGAAATAAGGGAGCAGAAGCAGCACCAGCCAGTAAAGGGGGAGGAAATGCTCACAGGGAGCTAAACAGGGAGGTTGTGAAGCTAACTGGGAGCTCACCAAGCATGCAGAAGGGCACAGCGTGCAAAGGACAGAGGAACAAAACGGGGTTTTTTCCAGGTTGGTGGGAGGTGGGGGGAGGGGAGGCGGGAACTGCAAGTTCTTTGGCACAGAGAGTGGTAAAGCACAGGATGTGGAGAATATGGTGCATGTTGAGACTGGAGAGGCAGAGAGAGCCAGAAGCCAGGACTTGGTTTACCGCGCCAAAGAACCTGACTTTTTCCTGGGTGTGTGGCCAATTTCATAGCATAGTCTTCAAACGAAGTCAGAATTCCCAGACCGTGGTGCAGCTAATAGAACTGTTTTTCCCTGGTTTTATCTTTACGATCATTGAAGGAAGAGATTGCAAAAGTCAATAAACTCCCTATCTGATGTGAACTGCCGTTATGCTAAAGAATATTGATTTTTTTAATCTCCACTCATTTCTCCACTTTTTTCATCAGCAGTTTTCTTTGGCAAAAGTTATTCTCAGATGCCTGGATAAGTACTTTTGAGAGTTGTCTTTTTTTTTTTTAATGTTTTTTAAAGTGGCCTTTGATTGCATAAGAGCATCATGTAGAACTGTTTCCAGTGGTATCTTTATAGCAGGAATGGAAGCTAAGACTGATTATGTAATTGTTCCCTTAATTTATTCTCAGAACCTAACATGCTGCCAGCATATAAAAAACCTAATGATCATGATGGCATCTGAGTGTCTTGCCTGCTCAGAGTCTCTGGCACTACCGCTCTTGCATTGTTCACCGTAGAGTAGAAATCAATGGTCTAAATGTGGCATGACTGCTCGCTCAGCCCCGAGCACCCCAGTCTCCTAGCTCTGCCTGCTCCGTTTTGCATGTGCAACCCACAGCCAGCAGCCCTCCCCCCAGGAAGGGTTCCTGTGCGCTGCGCTCAGTAAAGGCTCTCGCATGTTACCATTTGGATAAGGAGGCAGTGTGCTTCTGCTGCACTGAGGTTGCATTTTGCAAGGAGAGCAGAATACCATCTGTCAGAGGAGGTGGCGGGAGCGTGCAAATACTGCTGTGAATTCCATGAATGCTAAGTTGCTATAGAAATTTTTTTTAAGAGTCTTTGCATTTAGTTTGTTTGTCTGTTGTTTGTTCTTTTTTATTTTTATTTTTTAGAATAGTCCTTATCAGTGGCAGAAGATCCTTCTGTAGTATATTTTCAGTGCTGCCGTATCGCGACAGCGCCCAGGTTGGGTATGTATATGCATGCTTGCTTTGTAGTTCTCTGGGTGAAAAGTTCTGACACCATGTGCTTAATGTGGCTACCCTATCACTTTAAAGAACTTTCCTTGCCTTGATACTACAAATTCAGCTTTCGTAAATTGGAAAGAAAAAGTCTGTTTCATTTTCTTTTCAGCCAGAAAGCTTCTGTGTTACTGTGAGAGTGTACACGTGTGTGCTCATATCCTCTGCTTCTTCTAAATGCTCATTTTGTCACCTCTTCCAATATAATAATATCAAGCAAAAGCAATGCAGCACATACCCCATTCTGCAGTGTCTTCCAGCTCTGAAAAAGGTAGGTCAGGAAAGGACTCAGGCAATCATGTGGCCATCCTGCCTCCCTGCATCTTGGGCTTAGAGCTGGAAACTGACCAGCAAACTGAATGAAGCAAATATGAAAGCCAGAGGCACCAGAACAGACCTGTGTGATTCACGGCAGGCCAGAGGAATGCTCACCTCTAAATCGGCCCCTCCTTTTGCTCTGAAACAAGTAGGTAAGTGAGGCTCTGCCCTTGCAAAGCCTCCTTCACTCCCCAAACTCTGTGCTCGATTTCTCCTGAGTCTTCACTTCCTTATCCCTCACCTGTTGGCTGTGACTGGTGTTTGGCATCATGGAGTTGCTGGAACTTAGGGCAAACAGTTCACTACATAGGAGCAATTGTGGGAGCAATGCCACAATGGTGGGATATTGACTCTGACCTCTGCAAGCTAGATGCTGGGATTGCTGCTGGTACTTGTCACAATGATAAACCACCCACACGTTACCGCGCCCCACAGGTGGGGGTACGGCCCCTGGTGCTGATTTGCTGTTTATCATCTTCCTTGAGCTATTCCCCAGTCACTCCCTCTAACCACCATCTTCCCTTCCCCCTGTAGGTCTGCCAAAACTTGGAGCCTCTTCGGTTTACCCTGGTCCTTTTTTTCACTCTAGATACACTCTAAACTTTCATGGGACAGAATGTAGTTCATCTTTATTCAGGAAATCCTGATTCATTTATATGAACATAAATATATGCCATGAAATGCAGTCATAATAATTTCACTGTTTTACTGAGCACTTATTTGGTGCTCTTAATTCTCCACAGCCTTATGACAAGCTTGCAAAGCTGCAGTTGTGACAGTAAATCCTGTCCCTCAAAAGTTCTCAAGGGCTGTATGTAGAACCAGTGCCCTGCCCCCAAGAAATGTCAAGGGGAGGCTTTCGGAGTCTGGATGCATATGTGAACATGCCCATTCTCTGGGGTTCATACCAGCTCACAGATACGTGTGACCCAGAAGGCCAGATCATTCGTCTTACTACATATAGTGGCCCCAGAGTTTAGAATATATTCATTGGCCTAGCCTGTGAGCACACAGGGAGCCTGAATCATCAGAAGTGTGTCCTCCCACAGCCAGGAATGTCTTGGTCACTGTGATGGCCCCTCATTTTTCTTGATTTCCCCTTGATTACTTTTCTGCTTGATGTATTCTTCTGGGCTATGTCGCATTCATCACCTATTGAGTGTCTACTGTGTGGCTGGGTACTGGGGTAAAGGTAGAGAAAGATGAACCTGATCCCTCTCCATCTGGAAGTCAGAGCCAAGAGGAGGGATACATTGAATTTCCGTGATTAATTCCCACTTTTAGCAAAAGCTAAAGGTACTCAGTCAGATGACTGCCAAGACAGTTGACTTCGCCATGTTTTCATCTTTGAAGTAAGTATTCATGTTAGTTTCATTCCTGAAGGGTGATTCAAATTCTTTCAGCCAGAATGCTAATTTGAACCTAAGTCTATCCAACCCGAGGTTTTTCCATGACCCACCTTGACCCATAGGCAAGACAAGTTCATGTGCAGGAGAACCCTCTGTCTGGGAAATGGAGCTATTTTGATAACTGCCTCCAGAGGTTACCTGAGGTTATCCCAGAGGGTGTCTGCATACCTGATCCCACACAGCACCTGGAGCGCAGAGAGGTAGGTGGGCCAGCTTGTCAAAGATCCTGGACTTCTTAGCAGCAAATGAAATGTGGATTTCAACATGGAGAACCTGGGAGACTTACAGTTTTCTGCTTAGGCAACTCACCTGTGCTTCTACTGGTTGGAAATATCGAGTTATAGTCATACATCACTTAGTAAGGTTTGGGTCTGCAGATGATGGTGACCCAAAAGCTGTTCCATAAAGCTTTATGTGTAGTTGGGCAAACTGTCATGTAAGTTCACTTTGTGATGCTGACACAACCACAGCATCACCTGACTGCATTTCTCAAAACAGCCCTACCGGTGAGCAGTGCTTGTGCATGCTACCTGTGTTACTCACTGGGGGAGGCACATGTGAGCCAAGGCCCCAGGGATGCGTTCTACCTTTGGTTGGCCAGGAAGAGATACCCGAACCACCTGTTTGACATCCCTGTGGAGTCGTGTGGCCCTCCACTTCTTAACACCTCAGAGAAATGCTGGCTGGCAGCTGAGGTACTCATGTATGGACTCAGTCAGATTGGGGTTTCCTTCACTGCTGAAAAGGTCTCATGCACTTCAAGGAGAAGGTCTCATGTACTTCAGGAGGGGCATCCATAATGTTCCCTGTAGATTCAGTTTTTCTGCCACTTGGTCCCCCAGGGAGAAGCAAAATGAGTATGTGGGGGTCACTGAACAGAACCTTCTCTTGGCTATAAACAAACTCAAACGTAACCGCTCCTTCAGAATTGACCGATGAGAAAACCAGATAGATTAACTTTCTGAACAAAATACATGATTGGACTCTTTGTAAGACCTAACAGAAAAGAACAATCCTGCTTCTCCAGAGTTTTTATATAAATACTCTCAGAGCATAAATTATGAGCGTGACCCAAAATACTATAATTTAACAGCAGGAGAGATAAGAGGTGTTCTGCTTTTTCAGTGTTTTAATGAACAGAAGTCCTATTTATAAATAACTGCCATTATTATTTTTTCTTTTTGCTGATGATTGAGAAACAACTGCTGAAATAATAGATATTTATCCTAGTAAATTATAAACATTACATTTTAAATGCCTTTTGCTCATGTAATATTTACTAATACTTCTCACCTGTGGAACATCCCTTTCCTTTCAGACTGAGGCTCCCTCTGTAACCAGGATGTAAGTTGTAGAATGTCAGGGGTGGAAGGCCTTTTAAGCTTGAGGTGGTGTGGCCACCCTGCCCTTTAGCTCAGGCCTGGGGTGCACAACAGGGTGAGGCTCACCCACACCCTAGTAGCATCATAACCCAGGGCTCCAGTGAGCCCAGTCTGCTACCCTGGTGGTTTCTGTTTCCGTTGTGCTTGTGCAATGGGCCACACGTGCCTGTTTATTCCAGACAAGTGCAAACCCCCGTCAGAAGGGGGAAAAGTTGCAGCTTCGTCTCAAGAAAGCCTTAAAAACAGGAAACTCACAAGTTCATCCAGTGTACTTGAACCTCCTCCCCGTGAAGGCATCTACCGGGACGGCTTTATCGCTTTCCGTTTCCTTTTCTTGCGGGCTGCACTGAAGCTTCCCAAGTCTGGCACTCACATCTTAGCTCCCCCTCCTTCCCTGCCTGACCACAAAGCTTTGTTGTTGGTTTAAACAAAACTCAACCCTTATTTTGGCTCCTGGCATCAGTAGATCAAAGCAGATAGGCTGGTCCTAGGGAGGTTTTACCATTCATTCACTTTTTTTCACAAATCCATTCATGCATTTGCATGTTCAGTCATTTCTTGTGCTCAGTGAGCATGAGAGGCTGGCAGGGTACAGGGCTGAAAAGACCCTCTCTCTAGAGGCTCTCATCATTGAGCAAAAGAGCCAGCCATGTGGGGGAGCACCCAAAAGGGGCTTTAACTGCTCCCCAAATCTTTATCAACACCCATATTTACAATAAGACTACTGTCAATATTTACAATAAATCTATTGAGTCAAAAGCCAAGGGTTTGCTCTGTAAAGTCTCTTTCTCCCCACCGTCTCAGGTGTATTGCCGCTTCTGTCTGCTTCCCATGTAGAATGCAGGCTCCGCCACACGTAGCCTAATTCAGTCACTTCACAAAATCTAGTGAACCATGTGCCAGACACCTCCTAGGCAGCAGGGACGCACAGTAGTGGAGGAAAAAAAGTTTTTCCTCATTACCCTCTAGTGGCAGAAGACTTCTGTCTTCTGCTGGTAAACATAGTAACCAACAAGCAGGCGAGCAAACAATTGAACAGTGTCCAGCTGGCACACAGGAGGGAGCTTTGTGAATTCAGATGCAGGGACCAGGGAGCGCTCCAAGAGAAGGTGGCCTCTGGATATAGAGTGGGGTCTTGAAGAAATAGAGGGCGATCTTCCTCAGTGTTGGCTTCTGAGCATGTCAGAGGATGACTTGGCTCCTTGTGCGTGCTCGGTCAGGGTCGCTCAGGCCTGACTTTTGGGAGAATTCGAGAAAGCACCGTCCAAGCTGGAGGCCTGTAGCTCCTGGCACTGCAGGGTTCAAGCCCATGTAGTAATAGGAAGCAGAGGGATGGAGACAAATGGGGTTCTGGCCCTAGGGTGTCGCTGTCACAGGCCCATCCCCTAGCCTTTCCAGACCTCCTCCCCTCCCTGGCGAGAAGGGGAGGTGTGGTGTGACTGCATTCTCCGAGGTCCTCCATGCGCCTTCTGCACGCCTGTGCGCTCACCCTCGCCGGCACTAAGGGTGACCAGTGGGCTTAGGAGACCTGCTGTTCGGCATCCACCTGTCATCAGCTGCTGCAAGAGTTCTGGGTGTTTGCATCAGTGTTCTCTGTCCAATTTGTTGAAATTTGAGCTTTTCGAAAAGTGCCAATCTGATCACTCTGCACTATGGCAGGCTGTTGCCTGCGGGGAGCTGTATGCATAGAGGCTTCATCAGCCTGGGCTTGAGGACAGTGGCGTGTTGGGGTGACTTTGCATGCACCAGCTTTACCCCAGGCTGGCAGCAGGATCACTCCATTCACACGGTGTTTCGAGAGCCGTTGTTTGAAGCAGGCACCGACTGCCCAACTGCCACG